TTTTATATACGATACTGGGACAGACTGTCAAGCCCTACACCTCTACATAAATAAAGACATATTCATACACGTACACACACACACACATTATATATATATATATATATATATATATAGACAATGCAGCCATATACACATGCACTATTACATACATACAAGAATACATGCATAGGTATCACAAGGGACACTCACGCGTGGCTACCGGGATGCGACCGAAAGATATGCTCATCTGTATGAGATTCCCCTATTGACAGCTCTGCAAGACTACAGCAAACTCGAAACAAAGATCGTCACTGCACTCTCGGACGGCCAGCAACAACTCGCTCAGGCATTGATCAAGAAACACGGAGACGACTTCAAGGTTTATGTGAGAGACAATAGATAGAACAGGCGGTATACAACTAGACATACGGTACGCGGGTATAGTCCTCGTGTTATTATCTACCGGAGAATACGATGCCTGCGGTTATGTTCAACTTGGTTTATGATGTCGATGTCAGAAGATATAGCCAATGTGTTGCATGCGGTTGAGTTCTCCGTATATTTGGCAGTGGGGCTAGTCCATTAAGTTAAAACCGATAGAGCACACTTGCGCAGCTGCCAGGTGACTGGTTAGGTTTTGGGCTGCACGACTCACCTAGATTTGGATCAGCATTAGATCATGTTGTTTAAATGTGCGCGAAAGCGACCCCATAGTCGGGCCAGCTTTGGATCTGGTCTTACTATACGTGCAAGTTACCTCAGATTTGTATCAGTTCCTTGTTGTTTTATCTGTGGACAGGCCCATATGAGCGGTGTATGTGAGAGAGTTGTTGACGGCGGAGAGAGTCGTCTACGCTTATCATACGGAACATAGCCATATATCTGCATATCACACATATAAACTCAGTCGTGCGGGGCACAAACTACGAGGCCATGGCCTGTTGAGCACTGATGTGCAGCACATAAGGATACGTACATAGCTGATGTGAATACAAACGTCAACTACAAAGTTCGAACACAACCATTCAAACCCGCGAACGGATGACTCGGGCCAGTTTAACAAATAAGGCAGAGTCCTGCTGTTGACTTGAGAGTATTGTAGCTAACCAATTGTTCATATACATCACGTAAATGTGCAGGCTATGGAGAGAGACATCAAGCTCAACACGCACCAAAAAAGCAAGGGACAGCTCAAAAGTTTATGCACCAAGTACCTGGCTGGAATAGAGGAGGAGGAAGGAAGCGAAAGCGAAAGTAAAGAAGACAAGGCAGATGAATAGAGCTGCATATTTAGTTTAAATTGTAAGAATCGGAAGAAGATCTGAATAAAATGGATATAAGGGAACACTTAACACTTCCGAATTCGATAACGAAATGCATGGGTGAGCAGTGGATGCAAGGGCACATTGTTGTGCGCCTAAAGGTAATGCAGGTGATAACTTGGGGTAAAATTTGATGAAAAGATGTTCATACCTAAACAAATGCAAAGCAAATATAGACTTGGTAAAAAGAGACAATGGACTGCGTGTATACGAACATGTGTTATGTCATGAGATTTTCTTCGGAGAAGAGGTGCGTGGATGGGTGTTCATAGCGCGCGAAGAGATCCTTTTCGCTGAGCTTGGTTGTTGTGAAAATCTTAGGCCTCGTGCGTGTAACATCAGTAGACGAAGGTGAATCGATGGCGAAAATTGGCTATATTCATATATCCAAGTATTTAGAGAGACACCACTGATGTCCAATTGTATTAAGTAAAGGGGATCGCATTCTGAACAATCTCGTTCGGCGCTACTAGAGACTACTCGCGACTGGTCAAGCCTAGTGTTCAAGTATGTATTTTTAAATATTAAA